ACGACAAACATGACACGATCTAGCCACGCTGGTTTCGTCCTGATCCACGACGGCTACCCAAGATGTCCAGTCAGAAACTCATCGCTTCGTTTGCAAAATCTCCAAACCTTTCTTCCGAGACTCGGTGATAACCCAAGCCTAGTCTTCACCAATCATCACTAGTACAGGCTGCGCACCCAATCAAAACTTGCCTCCACAGCGCACACCCGTACCGTGGGGCACCAAACCTCGCTTCTCTTCCCCACGCGCACATGTATCTTCCGCCAAGTCCCACTGAACTCCGCTACCCCAAGCGCTCGTAGCCCCGCTCAGAGAACTTCACGAACAATACCAACAGCTGGCACTGACTAAAGGTAAAGATAGGTCTAGCCCCCTTACCTTCCATCACACCCACCTCGGCTTTTGCTCGGACTAAACACGCCGAAGAATACGGAGCTAGGAGTTTTGGCCTGTTTGCTATAGATTGTCGGATACACAGTTTTCTAAAAGGAATATTTTCACGCTTTTTAATCACCCACATCAACAACAGTTCTGCTTATCATTCTCGCCGACCATGGCTACATCGCTAAGTCACAGCCTAGCCGTCCGAGCCATCAAAATAGTCCCCAACCGACGATTTTCCACCTCGTCGCCCAGGTTCGAAAGACCTGCCGGCCGCTTCCCAAATCGCCTTCGCCGCTCACTCATCCTCCGCGCGTCGAACGAAACCAGCAGCAGCGCGCCGAGCGGCGGGGAAGGCGGCGCGACATCCGTGGAGCTGCTGGAACCGGAGCACGAGGAGCAGCTTGCTGAGGTGGCGCGTCTGCTCTCCGTCGCCACGTCACCCTCGGGGACAAACGGAAGCAGCGGCGCGGACCTGCGGCTCGGCGAGGCCGCGGCGGGGGAGCTCGTCCGGCAGCTCGACACTGCGGGGCGCGCGGCGCTTCTCACGGCGCTGTTTCCGGGATGTGGGTTTTTTTCTCACCATCGCTGCACTGCCTCGCGTGTCGTCTGTTCACGTCTCCGTGCTTGTCCCCATTCTGCTTCCCAGCCTCCGTCCGACTCATGCCGTTACCATATAAGTTCGGTTCCCCCTCCCCCCTCTGCCAGCAACGGAGAAGCACGACGCGGCGCAGGAGTTTCAGGATGCGGACGTGAACCACGACGGCGTGCTGGACGCCCCATTGCCAATGCCGTTCCCCGTTTCCTCCCTCTCCGCCCGCATTCCCGTTCCCATTCCCACTCCCGTTGCCCTGTAGCCACCGAGAAGCACGACGCGGCGCAGGAGTTTCAAGACGCGGACGTGAACCACGACGGCGTGCTGGACGCGCGCGAGTTCGCGACGTACGTCGAGGCGCAGCACGCCAAGATGGCGGCGGCCGACCGCCCGCTCAACCTGCACCAACTGGGGCTGCTCGCCACGCGCTCCGCTATAGGTGCGCTCGTTAGAGCCTAGAGGTTCATGCATGGATGCGGGGTGGAGTTTTTTGGGAACCTCCGTTTGTTTTTCTAACAACTGCATAACACAGAGGCAGAACTTTATTAAAGATGTTCGTGTCTGGCGCGGTTTGAATGAATGACGTTCCGGAAGTGGTGTGTGAGGGCTTGAGTCCGTTCCGCTCTCCTTCCTCCCACTCATCTCACGCTCCCTTTTCCTCCCTTTACCTCCCCTCTTTTCCGTCGTCTTTTCTCCCTCCTCTTCCTCCTTCCCCTCCCTCCCCCTTCCCCTTCCTTCCCATGCTGCAGGCAACATCGGGTTCGGCGTGACAGGTGAGAAGAGTGGGGCGGGGAAGGGGTTGGGGAGGGGGAGAGCACGTAGGAGAGGAGGAGGATGGAGCGAGGAAGGAGAGAACGGGGGGTGGATGGGCAACGAAACTAGGCCGCTCGGGTAAAGGGACCTTACAGAAATGAGACCAGTGGGGATTAGGAGGGAAAACCAGGAATACGTATGGTGTGAAAGGAGCAGGCCGAGAGGGAAGGGGAGGGGAGAGGAGGGGCTGGGCACCATAGTAAGTAGGTAATAATGCGTCTCCTGAAGCTCCATGTCAAGAATTCACAATCTCACTCCTTGAATGTGCCTCATTGACTCAATGTGCCTCACCGTGTCCCTTCGCATGGCATGGCGTCGCATGGCAGACAACACCATCATGCTCATCGCGGGGGACATCATCGAGGGCACTCTGGGCGCAGCCTTTGGCATTTCCACTCTCATGGTGCGCGCATGCATGCCATGTGCTCCACTCCCCACTCCCATGTGCCCCATCACAGTGCTCGTCTTATGCGCCACCGTTCCCATGTCATCATGCATCCTCCTGCTCCCCATCCACATGCTTTTCATCCGTTTCCTCAGCATCCCTCTCTGCACGTTCCGCCTTCTCCCCCTTCCCCCCCTTCTCCCACTTCTCCCCTTCCTCCCCCTTCTCCCCCTCTCCCCCACTTCCCATGGCCCCGCCCCTGCCCACCCATCTACTTTCCCCTCTGCAGGCGGCGGGGCTGGGCAATGCAGTGTCGGATATTGTTGGAACAATCTTCCGAGAGTACATCGAGGGCGCTACAGGCCGATTCCTGCCGGACGTCAACTTCTCCTCCAAGCAGCTCGCGGATTCCCGCGCGCGGTGGGCGGAAACGGGCGGCGCAACTGTGGGGGTGACCATCGGGTGCCTCATGGGGCTGGCGCCCCTGCTGGTGCTGCCTCAGAGAAAGTGCCACTCAGGGGGTGAGGGAGGGGACGCGGCATCTGCTGCTGGTGCTGCTGGGGTGCCTGTGCCAGTGGCTACAGTGGCGCAGGTGGCATGTGAGGAAGGGTTTACTGGTGCAGCCGCTGCTGCTGGTGCAGCGGAGGGGGCTGTTGAAGAGAAAATTGGAGACATGGGTAAAACAGCTAGTGCTACAGCAGGCGCTACAGCTGGTGGCATGCAAGGCGGGTTCACACAGGGCGCTACAGCCCATGCGTCCATCAGCGCAGCGCATTGGATGGGGCCGTCCCCCTCGTTCCGCCCACCCCTGGCAGGCGCCGTGGAGGAGCGCGGAGGGCTGGGAGTGGCGCTGCTGCTGGCGCTGTCGGCACTCAATGTGGTGTGGCGAGTGAGGGGGGTGTTCATGAGGAGGGAGGGGGAGAGACGGGATGCGGAGAGAGCAGGCAAGAAAGATCATCAATCTTAGAAACCCCCAACTCTTTAAGGAAGTCTTTCGTTGGTATGATTTTGTTATCAGACCCGCCGGAACGTCTTCTTTATTATGATTCATAAAGTTACATCTAGAATTCGTAAAACAAAAATAGAGGATGCAAAATAAATCATATAAGAGATTTCATATTCGTGTTTGCGCCAGCGCGTATGGATTTGTGGATGGGCTCGGAGCCAGGTGGCGCCAATCAGCGATTTTCATGTGGTCCCTGAAATTTGGGAAGGGTCCCCTTGCGTGCGTGTGTGCGCCGTCCTACCGCAACCAAAGGTCACAACACGTCGATGACATGGAGGCAACCACGGTAGCAGCCCTCTCTTTGCCACGTTGTTGAAATGACTTGGCATGTTACAGTTCAACCGGAAGTTTGCCATGGATGGACGAGACCTCACAACGAAAACCAGATCCTTCCAGCCAACCAGCATCGCTCACTCTGATTTATGTGAAACACGACCAAACAGTGCTACTTGTTCTAAAATGTTTTCGGAAACCAAAACCAGTTGCAGCAAAGTTGCATGCTGGTGTTTGGAGGGTTCCAGTTTCAGGGTCATCTGCTGCATCAATTACCCGTTCTCCTGAATTGCAAGCCAGAGTGGGTGAGTAACAGAATTCTCCTATGCCCGAATATGTAAGGCCCCAATCCTGGGGTCTTTTTTGGGAACACCAACCAGCATATCAGTGAAGATTTTGCCGACGGACCTTCGAAGCAATCTCCGCCACTAACTCACCGTCCTTTCCACGTCAACGAGTTCCGTCACCGTCAATTTGCACCTGCGCTTCGGCTGACTCTGCTTTGAATGCATTCCGCGGTTCGATGGTCGTTGGCAAGTCGAATTTCACTGCACCACCAACCTTCCCCGCCTTCCCTTCCCTTCCTCGCCAAGTGCGTGACCGACCGGTTGTACCGTAATGAGCGCGCTGAGCATGGACCGTCGCTCATAACTTCGGTCCCACTCCTTGCCGATCAATCCCGTCATCCCGCAAGTCGTCGTGCTAGCAAGCAGTTGCAAAGTCATCACTGTGCGAGCTGAGACAGTGCGGCAGCATACAGAACCCCAGCTTGTGCAGGCCCACGCGCGCCAGTGCAACTGGGCCTCAACCCGTTTGCTTGCCCCCTACCCGTTCTCAAGCGTCCTTGTCCTTCAACTCTAGTTCGGCGCGCAGCGATACTTTTTTTGGCGCGTATCACCTCGCTTGTGGTCACAACGCTGCCGCATCGTGTTCGATTGGGAGGAGTGATACCCAGGAGCAATGAGTCGCATTTAATGTCGAGCATTAATCATCGTCATTCCAGAAACTCGTTCCCGCATGCCACTCTCATAGTCCCCCCTCCCGCGAAATCCGCGCGTAAAACATTCGAGCTTGAGCTCCACGGCGCCTTACAAGTCCTGGTCTATTGTCCACTGTGCGTAGTATGCAAATCACTCTCCATGTCTGTTCATCGCTCGTGCCCGTTCGCATCGCCCGCTAAATGCTGCCAGGCACGCGTCGAACCAGCTCCATATATCTGTAGCGCTGATCGTTCATAGAATCTTTCAGTGGTATACTGAAGCGTAGTTTCCCTTCTTCGAAAGAAACGTCGATTGCACTGAAGAAGGCGGCGCCAGAACTCACCATTTAGCATCTCTCGTCATCGCCAACAGTTCTGAGTCTACCGCCTGAGCTCTTCAGATTTCTCAAAAAGGCACATTCTGGGACTTCTGTGGTAGTAGTGATTTTGAAACGGGAATCTCAAGCCTTAGGAGGTGGCCCTCGTGTGTCTGGATCAACGGCTCTCTTGCATTCGGCTCAGCAGCGTCAATAACGGCCGCATGGATTTGGAGCATGTGGCGATGAAAATGGCGGTCGCGGGCCTCACCGCGAAGGAACCCTCCGCCGTCTTGCTTCCCTCCTTCGCCGCCATCGCATCTCCGTCGCACGGCAGCCATAATGCCCTCAAGTCGCACGGCGATTCGACGACGCTGTGCCGCGGGGCCGTATGCGACTGTCACAGCGTCGCACGGGGATCGTGCCGCGCACAACGCCCCGTGCGATCTTGGGCGAAGCGCCGGTGCTCCGAACCCATGCTCTCGCCTCTCCATTCCTGCAATGCCGCCTGCGCGCGTTCGTCCAGAACATCCTACTGCTGCGCCGCCTCCTGCGGCGAGTGCAACGGCGTGTCCTGCGGCGCGTCACGCGGTTGTGTGAATCACGCAGCGGCATTGGCGGCGTCATATGCGGGAACGGTCCAGGGCTGCCTGGGTCATCCGTCCGCCTGCGATAGCTGCGTAGCCTCCTGTCAGCCTCAGCCTATCAAGCGGCGGCGCTCGTTTATGTCACTTGCCAGCTCATCGTCCACGTCACCCCTGTGTAACGAGAATCAACGTCCACATCAGCAGCTACTCTCAGCGCAGCGCGCGGTGATTAATCTCGACGACTTCAATGCGCTCCGTTCCGGGGCAGGCGGCGCGGATGGCGCTACGACACGGCCTAGCGACGCGAGGGGAACGCCTTTGCGACATTCCGGCAGTTTCACATCACGCCGTCGCCCAGGAAGTCTGCGACTCAAGGCGATGTGGGGATCTGCGAACACCAGCCCGGTAACTTCTGTAACAACCCAGTCGCAGTCGCCCACTGCGAGCGACGAGATTGAGAGCATCAGCGGAAACACGAGAGCCGTGGCTAAAGGAGTGTGGGGCGGTGGAGTTGGTTTGGAGGGGGTTAACAGTGGTTATGGCGTGACAAGGTTTGGAGCCTTCCCGTCCGCCTGCTCTGCCCCCAACCTTCACGCGCTGACCCAGGCACTGACGCCATCCCCGTCACAACCGAACTCAGTAAAAGCACACGCTGTGCTACAGAGTCAGCCAGCGCAGCAGCAGCAGGCGCTTATGCAACAACTGCTTCAGCTTCAACAGGCGGATCCATCACCCCCACACCACACCCTGAAACCGGCTTACCCGACCAGTGCTGCTGGCACAGCCGGCACAGCGTATGCATGTGAAGTGGCAGGAGTAAAGCGTGCATTGGGAGAAGCTGGAGGGTTGAGAGCGTCTGGTGCTGCAGTGGCAGCCATGGCTCAGCAGCTCTCTGCCTCTACGCTTCACGTAACCCAGCAACCCCAGCAACCCCATCAGCCTGCCCTTCAGAGTGCGCACCATCGGCCTGTCTTCGACAGTCTCTGGGCGGAGGATAGCAATACGCTCGCCTCGCCTGCTTGCGCCGTGGAGGCTCCGGCTGCCAGCAGTGCTGGCAAGCGGTCGTGGCGGCGACCTGTGAAGGACACGTGGCAGCAGCAGCAACAACAGTTTCAGATGCAGCACCAGCAGCAGCAGCAGCAGCAGCAGCAGCAGTTGCAGCAGCAGCAGCAACAGAAGCAGTTACAGTTGCAGCAGGAGAAGAAGGCAAGCAAGGCCGCCGCTGCTGCTACCACAGCCAAGGACGGGTTGGCTCAGCTTGAAGCCTTCATGGAAGCGTCCATGGGAAGAACAACGCATTCTTCCACCATTGCTCAGGAGGAGGAGGACCTGAAATCGCTAGAGGCCGTGGTGATGGGCCTGGAAAGTGCATGCCTGCAGGGCTTGGATGCTGCTGAGGGGGTGGGTGGGGAGGCACGGGAGGAGGGGAGGATGGAGGAATCTGGTGCGAGTGGTGAGTCTGAGCATGGTGCTCCTGTGCAAGACAAGCATGCGGCTTGTGAGCCAGCAACTGTTGACTTGGACCTCAGGCTCTGAGAGACAGGTGCTGCTATCCTGAAAGTCAGAGCTGATGTAGGTCAAGTTTTTCCCCTTGTGGTACTAGATTTTGCCCTGTGTGAGCTGTAGTTTTTGCCTGATCAAGGCTCTAGTTTGTGCTCGGTTGTTAGCTTTTTTGCCCATACTGCTGCTGCAGTTGGGTTACAAGCAGTGTACCATATGAGAGTGCAATGTTTTGAACAAAGGCGTGCTGAAGAAAAAACCACCCACAACACATGAAATACGGTGAACTACTCTGTGGCCTTGGAAGCTGTATTGTAAACTCAACACCATACAAACCCCAAGGCTGGCCATAATGCTGATGCGGCTGGTGCTTCTGCTATATCAACTGAGCCTCAACGTTTACAACCATTAGCTACAAGATAGTGGGCCGAATCGCAGAGCCCTCCTACTGCTGTGCCTTGCACCCGGCTCCACAGCCTCCATCTGCCTTGCACCATGCGCTGCAGCAAAGCCACTTTCCACTGAGAAAGACCCTCCATGAATCTCTCTTCGGCTGTCATTCTTTGCTTGCTGTATCACACCGTCAGCTTGCTGCTGCTCGCTCATTTACAAGGATAGCTATCCGCAATCCGCCTCACCCGACACACGCCCAGGGCCAAGGCGTAGCTTTTGATGCAACTCTGAAACGTCACGACGGTAACGCTGTTGATCACTCATCTACGCGGCTATTCTTCCAGCTCCCCTGAAACACGCCCAGGGAAGAGGCGTAACTTTGAGTCGACACAGAGAAGTCACCATGGCAGTGCTGGCCTTTCACTTATCCAGCAGGCTGTTGCGCCTCTCCTGACACACGCCAAACGTTACTGTTGCCACGGCAGCGGCATAGCTTCTGAATTGGGGAGTCAAACGTTACTGTTGTAAAAAAACTGCCGGCTGGCCGCTGCTCACTCATCCAGCGGGCTGTTGCGCCTCTCCTGCCACACAGCACGACGGGGTCATAACGCAACACGGGATGGGGAAGGGGGGCATGGGGAGGAAGAGGGGTAAAGACACATCAGAGGGGTGCTACTGATATGGCACCCCGTGTCGTGCTGTGCTGAACGGCGCGTAGCGCTGTGATACATGGCGTGTACAGTGCCATGCTCCCCCCTCCGCGGTGCACAAGTTAGCGGCGCTTCTGCCCATGTATCCCAACACAGCATCACAGACCCAACCCATGTATCGCACCACACCCCAACAGCCCCGTACCTTGGCCGCTTGTCGTTTACTCCACGAAATGTTCCGCTTCACAGCGGCCTCTTCGCGCGCGAATTTCATCTCCTCCTTGTTCCACGCCTTCTGCTTCCTTGCCACCTCTCTCTCCTCCCGCGCTTCCCTCTCCCGCTCTAGCGCCTCCTGTCGAATCCTCTTCACCTTCCCTCCTCTCGTGCTCGCTTTCCCTTCACTTTTCGCGTAGCTCTTCCCACCACCCTTCGTCTCATTCTCCCCGTCTTCGATCCCGTCGACCTTCTTGTCGGGTTGCGTCGTGCTCTCCCTCTCCTGCTTCTTGCTCTTCTCCGCTTGACTGCGGCTCTCCCGCCCCCGGGGGCCCTGCTTGAATCCTGATTGGCTCCTGTTATCCAAACCCATCATTCCCATGGCTTCACGAAGATATCCGAAATGAAGGTCTAGGCTTTCTTGCAGTCGCGACGGTTAATGCACTAAACTGACGGTTAAGACTTTCCACCTTGCACCAAAGTGGCTCGGAAAAGTGTACTTGCCAACAAACGGATTAATCCGGCGACGCGAAAGTCGAACACTGATCACTGACGGTACGCTCTGAATAACCTAATTGAACAAGATGAGACACCTTGCGGATGCCTAGAGGCATATATAGCATATACCAGAAGTCTCGTTGCGTGACTCCCACAAGTCGCACTGGCTTGCGACGACGGTGACTGATCGCGACACGACAATCTCGAGGCATGACGTCACGGGAAGGTGTCAGGCGTGTTTGGGCGAAAGAAATGGAGTGCGAGCACACGCAACGCACCGTACTGGGGTCAAGGAGGGGTCTAGGGGGGTCTGGAAGGGCCCTAGGCTCCTGATGATACATATGTAGCAGTTGCGTGGGCACCACGTTTCTCGGTGTTCTGCGGTTCAGCTGGATGAGATTTTGGGGTTTGGGACTCTTACCTGGCTCCTCTCGTATGCTGCAACTTACGATATCATTTAATGACATCGAGCGACTCAATGGCGAGTGTTTTTTATATGTGTCGATTTTACGAAGCGCAACAACCGACTCGCATTTCACAATGCAAAATGCGACATTCGGCTGGTCGGAGAGGCAGGCGCCACTTTCAATTCATCCCCCTCCCTCTCAGTCGGCCTGTACTCTCAAACAACATTTTCCTCACTGAAAGGCTCCACAAAATATTCCAACTTCCCACCACGGTAGCCCGTAGTGGATAAAAGGGATGCGCAACTTGCAAGGCTATCATAATATCCAGGTAGTCTCCTTGCCCTTGATAAAGAAACTGCTAGTCCTGGGAAATCCTTGGTATTGCTTGTCAAGCAGAGGTGGTTAACTCCGCCAGCAGGCACTAAGACCTGGAAAATGATGGCTCGTGTGCTTCTCTTAGCTTCTCAGACTCTCTCGGTCCTTCTCTTCTCTTCGCTCGCTGTTGCGTTGGCAAAGGATATTCCTTTCAATGCAAGCATAGGTATCCCCATTCCATCTCTCCCCAACCAAAACACGTTTAGTGTTCGCCATTTTGTGCCACACTTACCAGCGTTGCTTCCGCCTTTCATGAGCAAATTCAAGACCAAAAACCTGAGGCCTGCGTCATTTGACCTCCCAAATAAAAATAATGCATGTTCATGCATTTATTGCTTATGCATATGAACGAATTTCTAGTACATCCTTTGTGTTATTTCGTTGCAACAATTCCAGCCGCAGCGATGCATGAGGTGGCAAGGGAGCTTGCCTTGCCTCCAGGACTCAACTGGGCTAAGGGTCGATTGTGCTCCGACGATGGCATGGGCACAGGGTTCAGAGGGGTGATCTGCGATGACTATGGGTTCCCCATATCCATGTGAGTGAGCAAGCTGTCAAAACGATCTGGCTGATTTTGACTCAATTTGTTTGCTTGGTATCTTTCTGGGGTTGGTTTGCAACAAGGTCAACGCAATCTCCTTCATTACAATCACATCCCAAACAGAGCACCAGTGATTCCAGACGGGGAGGTCGGTGGGGGCTTCTCACAGCTCCCAACAGCTCTCGCTAAACTCACAACCGTCACGCTTCTGTAATCCACTAACACTCGGCCATTTGTATCAAATTTATCGTACCATGCATTTTCATCCCAGCCAAACATGCGCACGCCGTTGCTGTGGTAGATTTAACATTTTCCATGGCATCAAGGCAATGTAGCTTTCGCCCATGATTACACACACACCTTAACCTGCTGCTCATTTTCTTCCCGCCAACCAGCTCCTTCAACGCCTTCCAGCTCAACGCCAAGCTCTCCTCCTTCGCCCGTGTCATCAAATGCCTGCCCCGCCTCAAATACCTGTCAGTTCCTCTCCCCCACCCTCACCTGCTCCTGCTACCCTGTTTCTTCAAAGGCCTGCCACCCCATTTGCGCATTTGTCATTTACTCTGAAGTGTCTGATCATGCCATTCCATGCATGCATGGTACTACACACTCCACCGCTCGCGTGTTCTGTTCCAAATGTCTTTTTCAGGGACCTGTCTGTCAACTCGCTCTATGGCCCCATACCACCATACCTCACCCAGTCTGACTCCATCGAGTTCCTGTAAGTCAATAGTCCTTTTTAGTCCTCCTGAGCTCATCTCATCCTGTTTCCCCTTCCTATGACTCCAATCTCCCCCTTCCAGTTGTTGAAATCAACCAATCTCTTCTATTTCGGTCTCACCTCTTCCACTGCCTTGTGCTGCAGATCCCTCTACGCCAATCAGCTGACAGGACCCATCCCCGTCCTCTCCCCCACACTCAAGTCGCTGCAAGTCCACCATAATTTCCTTTCGGGCAGGCTGCCCGCTGCCCGCCACCTCATCGACTGTGATGTCAGCCACAACTGCTTGGTTGGAGGCAGTGCTGCCACGTGTCCCACCTTATCCGCTCAGAGGCCAGGTGGCAAATGCACAGTGGCTAAGAGGGCGTGTGCATGCAAAGGGGGGAAGGTGTGTGTGCCTGTGTATGATGGTGATGATGGGGATGGGAGCAGCGAGGGGGTGGAGAACGCAGGAAACCCTCCAGATGCATGGGTGTGTTCCAAATGCCCCATGGGGACATCCGAGTTCGCCAATACCTGTGGTAAGTACCGTGAGGCCCACACTCACTCATGCACAGAAGAAGAGATTAGCATGTACCGTATTATCCGTGCAACCAGGCAGGTGCTGCTTGCGATTGACATCTTGCTGCTACTGCTGCTATCCCTCTTGCTACGAGGGAGAGCATTCACCCTCTTGCTATTGGCATCTTCCTGTATGAGAGGTCTCATCTCATCCACCCTCTTGCGGCCACTGCTGTTATCCCTTATAAAAGCTCACCCTGTGCTTGCATGTGCAGTGTCATGCAGGAAGCTGTACTTCACCGGATGCTACAGGACATGGGCCAAGAACAAATTCTCCTGCTAGGAAACACACCCGGCACTGTCATGCCACTTGTCACAACACAGCAACAGCAGCTTGCGCCAACTGCGTTGGCATAGATATTTTTTTGGATCAAGGGTACCGTACCTACGGTCAGTAGAGGCTCGGTGGATAGGTAGTCATGCTTAGCAACATTGGTTCAACAGCTGTAAAAGCACTGGTACTCAATGACAAGTCACTAATCAAGGAAGTCAGCTCAACAACAAAACAAGTCACCCTCAGCAGCCCAAGTTACTGCCATAGCATGGCAGCAACAAGTCACATCTCCTCCCCCCCAAAACCAAGAAGCGCACAGCAACTCAGATGGGAGGTGAAGTGGACCGCCTGCAAAAACAGACGATGAAAGCATTGACAGGCAGAGGACACACACACAGCACCCTATCCAGCAGTAGCTCGCAGCTACCAGCCCCACCCACCACACCACCCTCACCATTCACCCACTCACGACGCCACCACCAGTCATCTGTGTGCGCCGGCCACCTGTGCAACAGCCAGACGCAACACACCCCAGCGAAGCACGATGCATGACCAAATATCTCTTCCCTCTCTCCCATCTCCCCCCTTCTTTCCCCTTCTCCCGTCCCCTCACCACCACTGCCTCTGCTCCCACCTCCTCTCTCCCTCCCCATTTCTCCAACATCTCAGCTGCAGCCGCTTCACTTGACCCCAACACCCAACCCCCACCACCACCACCCTCCCACCCCTCAAGTGAAAACATCCTCTCGGTCCACCTCCTCCCCTTCCCCAGCCGCAGCCTTCCCACTCCCCGCCGGCGCCTTCGCCCCAGCACCCTCAGCCGCTGCAGCCGCCGCCGCCGCCACATCCAAATGACTGAACTCCAGGAAATGCGTCGGCCGGTGGGCCTCATGGTAAAACTCCCTGGGCGGAACCAGAGACAGCCGGTACCTCATACCAGGCGAGTGCTTCACGCCCATGAAGTTGTAGTTCCACACGCCTGTGTCCGGGACCATGAAGAACCCGAGGAATCGATCAGACAGCAGCATCTGGCAGCGCTCGTAGTGCGTCGGTAAATACCCCTGCGGCGCGCTCCCCGACACGTCCTTGTTCTGCCTCCCCCACTCGTACCCCGCGGGCGTCAGCTTGTACGCAGCGAGCGAACACGATCCGGGAGTGAACGAGCACGTGATGACGATGCACCGGTCCCCATCCCACGACCGATTCCCCTCCAACAGCCGAGCATGCTGCGTCACATCCTGCGGGTTCAACTGCGGCGCCTCGCTCGGCTGCGTATGCACCCACCCCAGCGGCTCCAGATCCTTCAAATACTCATGCTCAGGCAGCTGCTGGGGGAGGTACACCTGCTGATGCGTGCCCCACTGCGGCACCAGCACCATGCACCGAATCTCCTTCACCTGGGGGTTATCCGGCGGGCTCACCCCGTACATATACGCCGCCACCTGCGTCCGCAGATCCGAGATGCACACAAACCGCTTGAGGAGGTTCTTAGGGAGAATGTAGGTGAATCCGGTTTCGCGGAGGTCGTCCGAGGCCACGTAGATGTGCCCCACACGCAGGTGGAGGTTCCCTGCTGAGATGGCTCGCACACGCCAGTCGGTCTTGGAGGCGAAGGCGGCTTGCTCGTACGGCGAGGTGGTGGTGACGATGAGCTCGTCGCCGTGCTTGTTCGTGGAGCGCGTGGTAACCGCCGTGAGCTGTGCACCGCCCGCGCCGCCCTCCTTGGCCTGCTTCTCGATCTCCGCGATCTGCTGCCGCTGGATGGACGGCGGCGCGATCTCCGCGCCGAGAATAATATCCCGGATCTCCGACTGCGTCAGCGCTGACACGTTCACCGAGCTCTTCTTGGCGTAATCCGCGAGAATCAGATCTTTCAGCGCAACCTCACAGCGGATCCACTGTTCATCCGTGAGCGTGGGCCACACGTGGTGCGCCTGCGTCACCACGCTCTTATCCGGGCGCAGCAGCATGCGCGCCTTCTCGTTGTTCACATGGAGAGCCCTCAGGATGAGGATGAGGCGGGAGAAGGCGGTGTAAGAGGAGATAGAGCGCAGCCAGTCGTCGTAGATGTTAAACAGCAGCATCTGCGGCTCCGTGGCTTTAAGAATCAGATCGCCAAACTTTTCGATCTTGAGGCACGCCTGGAAGGGCAGCTGGAGCTCAGACCCCTTGATGACAATGTTGGGGAAATCCAGCAGATGCACCTCGAGGGGATCCAGCATGCCCTTCCTGGTCACAATGATCTGCCGCGGCTGCTCCTCCACCGGCAGGGACCGAATCAGCGCTGCCACTTCCTCCGCCGTCTTCCATTTCGCCAGCTGCCCGAGACGCTTCTGCCCGGCCCAGACCGATGTGTGGATGATCTTGAGGAAGAGCTGGCCGGTGCGCGGGTTGAAGATGAAGATGGCGCCGTTGATGGGCTTGGTGGTGAGGTTGCCCTCGAACGTCTTGTGGATGGTCACGCGGTACACGTTGGTGTCATCCACAAACCAGATGATCTGGTTGGAGAACAGCTCGCCGTAGTTCTGAGAGGACAGGTAGGGTTCCGTGGGCTCGGAGGAGTAGAGCTGCAGCCCCTTGCGAATGCGCTCGCGCAGCACGTACAGCGCTGGGTTCGCCTTCATGATCTTCGCCATCGCCTGGAAGGGAGAGAGAGGGGAGCGGGTGGGGTGAGGGGACAGTATGGAGTTGAGAGAGAAAGGGCATACACAGGATGTCGTTTGAATCATCTCAATGCTCGGTGGGCCCCGAGGAGTAGAGCTGCAACCCCTCTAAAAAGCACCTCGTCAGTGTGTAGAGCGCCGGGTTGGCCTTCATGATCTTTACCATCGCTGGGTGGTGGTGTGGGGGGAGGAGAGGGGCAGGATGGGGTTAAGAGAGGAAAGCGCGACCTCACAACTGCAGCACAGCACGCACAAGACCGGGTTGGCCTTCATGATCATGATCAGGCGATGCCATCGCCTGTGAGCAGGCGGGTGAAGGGGCAGGGGGAGGAGGATACACGCGCAGGACTGAACAAGTTGTTGAGCGAGGCAGAACAGGGACACGCACAGAGGGTTGAGATTCAAACACCCCGAACACTCCCCCCTCCCCCCACTTTCTCTCACCCACCCTCAACTTTTACAAGCCCTCACCTGCGCAAGGAGAGGCTTCATGCCGGGAATCCAGTTGCCGTAAATCGACCACAGGTTGTACGCCAGGTCAATCCCGATCATCACCCCAGCCGGCGACGGGTACAGGCTCATGTTATCCGTGGTGTAATCCAAAAACTTGGCCCTCGTGTACCGCTCGATGTCATGCGAGTCGTAGTCCCCCCAGCGCAGCTGCACGTCGATCCAGAACTTGTCCGTGGCCTTCTGGTCAAAGGCGTCCTTGGAGTCGGCGACCAGCGAGGGCTTGGACACGGGCCACTTGTAGGCCGCGAAGAGAAGGATGTCGGCGCAGGAAGAGTTCATCTTGTAGGACTTGCGCGGATGGATGGTCTCCTTCTGCACTGTCTCGATCTCGAGGGCGTCCAGCTCCTGGTCCAGCACCTGTGGTGGATGAAAGAACCAGTAAGGGGGAAGGCGGAAGGGAGTGGGGGGTGAGGAGTTCATCTTGTACGACTTGCGCGGATGAATGGTCTCTTTGTGGACGGTTTCGATCTCCCAGGGCGTCCAGCACCGGTGATGGGGCAACACGACACGAACATGCGGATACAGGGGAAGTGGAAGAGGGATAGGATGGGCGTCGGAAATGATTGAAAACGTGCGGACGAGTTTGAGCAAGGACAGGACAGCAGGGCCGACTGACTACTGAGATAAAGCACACCCACTCCATCCCCCGCCCCTCCCAGCCTCACCTGGCAAATGTCCATGACGACGCTCTCGTGCACCTTGTGCCAGAGATGCCCATGCATCCACGTCACACATCCCACAAATGACCCACCACCCCAACCTGCCACCTACCCCCCCTTTCCTCCCCCCCTCCAAGCCTCACCTGGCAGATGTCCATGACGACGCTCCCGTGAACCTTGTGCCAGAGATGCTCTTGTTTGTCACCACCACCTTGGCACCTCCCTCCCCTTCACCTGGCATATGCCCATTCCCACCCCGCCCACCCTCCATCCTCACCTGGCAGATGTCCATGACTTCTGCCACAGATGCCCATGCAACCCACCTCACACATGCCACAAAATACCCACCACCTGAGCCAACCACCTCTTCGCCCCCCCCTACACCCCCCCACCCCCCCACCCCCTTCTCAAGCCTCACCTGGCAGATGTCCATCACAACGCTCTCGTGCACCTTCTGCCAGAGATGCGCGCGGAAGATCTGGATGAGCGAGATCTTGAGCGTGGGGATTTTGCCGTGCATGAAGATGCCGGTCAGGTCCAGCTGCACCTGGAACCCCACGTACACGTTCGCGCGGTTGATGGTCGGCGACCACCACAGCGCAAACCGCCTGTTCGGGATCTGGTTCAGACCCGACCGCTGCGCGTTCGTCAGCTTCTTGTACTTCATCGACTCCTCGAACCCGGACGCCTTCTCCCAGAACAGCCCCTCCCACGTGGGGAAGTAGGTGCCTTTGAACAGGGTGTGCTCCAGAATACCCTCGACTCCTCCCAGCGCCTGAATCACATCAGTCCGGTAGTTGTTGAGGTTCCACAGCTTGCCGTCGTGCCGCTGGTGCGTCCACCAGAAGGGGTTCTGCTTCGGGAACTGGTACTGCTGGAAGCCGGTCCGCACGCGCCACCCCTTGTCGTACGCCAGCGTGTGACGGTCCTTCTGAAACAGCGTGTTGATCCTCGGAATGCCCCGGTCCCACGAGTCCTCCAGATCCTCCAGCGTCAGCCGTCGATTCTGCGCCTGCGCCTCGCTCCGCTTCAGCGCATACTCCGCCCACACCCTCTGGCTATCCACAAACTCGCTCTCCCACGGCTGGATATACCGGTACAGGCTCGGAATCAGCGCCCCCTCCTCGTGACTCATCCCCGCGCGGAAATGCGTGACGCCGATATCCGTCTGCTT